ACTCTGGACTTCTTTTGCTGTTAGTTGCTTCTATTGCTGGATGAGCCTTCTTTCTCTTTGCTCTCAGCTTACACTGTCCTCAGCCTCCTTGCACCAGTGCTGAGTTCATGGAGAGTGAAGAGGCACCAACAAACTCTTTAGCAGAAGCTTGTGTTGGACTGTATAAATACAAATAGATAATGAATGTGGACAGGAGAGTAAGAGCAGAGACAACAGCTCTCATCTTGATTCACAAGCTGAGAAATGGGAGAGAAATCTGTGTTCTGTTTTTATAGGATTGTGTTCTGGAGATTCGCACAGATGTATAATGGGACTGAGGTCCCATTAAAATAAGTTACTACACTCAATGTTTTTAAAACTCCTGTGAAAAACATAGGAAAATTCCAAAATGTTTTAATACGGCCATTCCAAGATTGTTACAAGCTGGGCTCTCTTTCATTACCCAAGAAAAATTTGCCTATTTCCAGAGTATAAACACTGCAGGTCACCAAAGGCTCTTTTCCCATTTCCCTATCCATACTGCTCTTCCACTTCTTATATCCAGATACTGGGGCTGGTAACATATGAGTTTCCTTCAGAGCTTTATACAGCAGCCATCATTTGACTGTCTGGGTGTGTGTACACAAGACACTTTACTGAGCAGCAGACTAATCTACTGCACAGTAAAGTGTCACCAATAACCGTGCTAATAAAATACTATGCAGTAAACTAATCTACTGAGCAGTTAGCTAGTACCTGTAAATATAGATACTAAACTAACTGTGCAGCTGATACTGTGCCAGAGGCCCAGCCCTGGCACTGCTCACCTCCCAGCTCTGGGAGCCAAATCAGCACAAGGACTGGGTCACTCTCTGCCAACACCCTGTCCCAGCACTGTAGGGCTCCCGGCTTCCCACAGGAGCAGGGAGCTGAGTAATGCCAGGACAGGGGAGCTACCGATGGGGCAGCTAGCAGCAACCCCCCAGCTGGGTGGGGAATCCCCAGTCAACTGAGGGGCAGCTGAAAGCTGTCCCACTGGTGGGGCAGCTAGCAGTAAGGGATTCTCCGCCCAGCTGAGGGTCTTTGCTAGCTGCCCCATGGGTGGATTGAGGCAAGGGACTGGGTGGATTTCAGCAAGGGAATTTTTCCCAGCCCTGTGCCTCGATCACCTGATCAGGGCACAGGGCTGGGAAAGAGCTGCAGGGGAAGGGCAGGTCCCAGCCAGCTCCAGATCTCTGTGCATCACGGAGCCTAGAGCTGGCTCAGAACTGCCTCAGACCCAGACAGGTCCTGACCAGCCCCATGCTGTGCAGGGAAGCCCTGCTGGGCACAGGGCTTGTTCCCATATGCATGGGGCAGGATAGCTCTGCAGCAGCAGCTTTCTCCCAGCCCAGTGCACATCAGGACCCCTCCCAAGTGTGTATGTGGCCAGGAGACAGCTGCTGCTACAGCCAGCAAAGCTCTCCTGCCTGCCCCCAGGGTAGCACCCAGAGGGAGCCTGGATCTCCCCCTGGCTGCTACAGGACAGAGCAAGGTAGGAGCAGCCCTGTACCAACCAGGTTGCTCCCATTGGGTGGATCCAGATTAGTGCAGACGTGCAGTATGCAGCGCCACAGACCCATTTGTGGTGCTGCACACTGCATACACTGCAACTGCAAGCGTTTCCCATGCTGCTATTTTGCAGCATTGGGGGGGATGGGGGGGTTGTGTTTCATGACTGGGAAATCCCAGTGTCAAAAAACCCATGCCCTAAAAAAGCAGGACAGTGCACATGGCAGCAGCATACAGCACCAGAAACTAAAGCCAGGCCGGCCAGAGCCAAACTCCAGCTTCCAGCCAGTCTCTGTGCTGCTGGACTGCCAGAGCTGCAGCCCCCAGAGGCCCTTAGAGTCCCAGGTAAGTCTGCTGGGGCCAGCTTACCTGGGGCAATGTGATGCATGCCAAAGCACTTGTACCTGGGCATTTCCCAGGGACAAGTAGCAGTGGTACATTTTGTGCCACTGCTGTTTGTCCCTGGGGAAATACATGTTTCTGCTTGTGTGGGCACGCCCATTGGGAGCAAATCTGCTCCCAAGAGGGAGCACATGCAGATATGTTCCTGGGTAGGTTTACTGTGCAGTATTTTTACTGCACAGTAAACCTACCTTGAATTACTAGCATGTGTAGACACATCTGAGGCCTAGTCTACAATACAGGGTTTTACCAGCAGAATTCAAGTTCTGCCTATGGACCCTTAAATATATCTATACTTAAAGTATTTTTACAGGAACAGAACCCAATTTTGCCTTCCTGTTTCCAGATCAGAGGATTTGCTAATGTAGCTGCTGTAGTAGGGGTTTGATTTTTTCATATACTTTGTCCAGCAAAACTTTGTAGCATAGATCCAGTCCATGCTGTGATACTAGAGTTATATCAACCCCAGCTATGGCTATAATTGCTTCTGCTAGGGGGGCAGTGATTACCAATTTCTACTTCATTAAAAGCCACACCCCTTCATAAAATGGTTGCACTGCCATCACAAAAACTGCATGTAGAGCAGAGCAAGGTAACTCCTGATTTATCAAATGCACCCCCAAAAGTGATATTTTAAATACTGGAAACTCCATTCAAATCCAATTTGTGATGTTGCTGGATGATGCATTTAAGGATATTTGTAGCTCGCTTACTCTGCTGTGGTTGTTTCCCCCCATTACCGCACAAATTATATAAGCAGACTAGTACCTCTGTCCAAATGTTTCGGGATTTATTGAAATGTCTAGTAAATGTTTAGCAGGCAAGTTTTCCATAAAAGAAGGAATAACATTTTTAATGAACTGCAACTAAGTCTGACTCTGTCCCATCTTTTGAAAACATCTAGTTCACTTTGTATGTATTTGCAGCATTACCATTGGCCTTGATCCTGTAACGCACTCACGTGGTTAACTTTAAGCATGTGAATAGTCCCATTGACTTAGTGCCACGGACAGAAATGGGCTGCATCCAGACAAGCGTGGCTATGCAGCGCCATATACCGTATGTTCAGTTGTTCTCCATGCTGCAAGGGAGCAGTACGAGGGGAAGGGGGTTTGACCCCTGGATATCCCACAGGAAAAAAAGCAGAGCAGCATGTGTGGGGGCAGTGTGCACTTCTGGAAACCAGAGCTGGGCTGCCTGGAACTGTGCTCCAGCTGCCAGCCAGGCTCTGTGCAACAGAATTGCTACGGCTGTAGCCCTGGGAGCCCCCCTGCCAGGACCCCAAGTAAAGCAGGTTACCCCATCCCACCTGGGGTAACCTGCCGAGTGCCACAGGGCATGTGGCATAGGCATTCTCCAGGGACAACTAGTGGCAACCTAAGGTGCACCACTGCTAGTTGCCCCTGGGGAGCCAATGTCTCCCAGCTGTAACTCAAAACAATTTCTGCCAAGTGATCTGAGTTACAACATTACCCCAGACCAAACAGAAGTTCACCGTTGGTTCCAGGAAAAGGGGAATCTGGCTGCCAGCTGCAGCCTGCAGCCATGTTCCCATAGCAATGGCGAAGTTCTCTTGCTAGTCCTGGCTGTTTTCAGAATGGGAGGGGGGAAAGGCAGTAGAGAGAGCTACATTTTGAAACGTTTATCTGGTACCTTATGAAATGAGGGATCAGATTTTCACCCAATCAGCCATTTTTGAAGCTATCTGCAGCTATGCACTTCACAGATTTCATAGATTTCGTAGACATTAGGGCTGGAAGGGACCTCGGAAGATCATTGAGTCCAGCCCCCTGCCCAAGGGGCAGGAAGTCAGCAGGGGTCATAGGATCCCAGCAAGATAAGCATCCAAATTTCTCTTGAAGGCGTTCAATGTAGGTGCATGAACCACCTCCGGTGGTAGGTTATTCCAGACCTTGGGGGCTCAGACAGTAAAGAAATTCTTCCTTATGTCTAGCCTGAAACGGTCTTGCTGGAGTTTATAACTGTTCGACCTTGTCATCCTTTGGGGCGCTCTTGTGAACAATCATTCCCCCAGATCCTGGTGACCACCCCTGATAAACTTATAGGTGGCCATCAGATTGCCCCTGAGCCTGCGCTTTTCCATGCTAAAGATCCCCATAGCTCTCAGCCTGTCATCATAGGATCTGCTTTCCTGACCTCTGATCATGCGCGTGGCTCTTCTCTGGACTCTCTCAAGCTTCTCCACATCCTTTTTGAATTGTGGAGCCCAAAACTGGACACAATATTCCAGCTGCAGTCTCACCAAGGCTGAGTACAATGGGAGAATGATGTCCCTGGATTTACTTGAGAAGCATCTATGGATGCAAGCCAGCATTTTGCTCGCTTTACTAGCCTCAGCATCACATTGAAGGCTCATGTTCATCTTGTGGTCAATCATGACCCCCAAGTCCTTTTCATATATAGTGCTAGTCAGCATAGCACTGCTGAGCCTGTAAGGATGCTGCAGGTTTTTCCTCCCAAGGTGGAGAACCTTGCATTTTTTGGTGTTCAACACCATCAGGTTCTCATCCACCCATTTCCTGAGCCTGTCAAGGTCAGCCTGGATCGCCCTCCTGTCCTCAGGTGTGGATGCTTTACCCCAGAGTTTGGTATCATCGGCAAACTTAGCCAGTCCACTTCTGACTCCAATGTCCACATCATTAATGAAGATGTTGAACAATACAGGTCCAAGGACAGAGCCTTGGGGGACCCCTTGTGTTTGGTCACAGCTATAACCTGCTTTCTCTGTGGCCAGATCAGGGGAAAATTGTCACTTCTGTCTGCACCCATAAACCGGTATATGTGATCGGAAACCAGTTCAGATCTGGAATCCAGCAGAAGTTCAGTGCACACAAACCACTTTGAAAATGGCCCAAACCAATTTAAGATAAACCTAGATGGATATAATATCAGACTTAATTGATTTAAGTTCAATGGGTTTATTGAACTTCTGTCCCAGATCCTCTCCAGATTCAAGTTCACAGTCCTTCAGCATCCCAGGATGCTTTGCACCACCCCTTCAAACTGCCCCTCACAGGCCCAAGCTGTCTGCTCCAACCTGCCAGGGAGGCATGCTCTAGCACCCTGCAGCTTCTAGCCTGGGCCACTGCAGGCAGGTGGCTACATTTCTGGAATCAAAAGTGAATCTCTGTTCACTTGTTTGTCAGTTCAATATATGCAGGTTAGACTAACCTGTGAAGATTGAATTGATTCAGCCTCCAGCTTTTTGATTGTCTGTACTTAGCCCAGATGGGCAGGGCAAGATTAACCCTTTAGTGGGCCCTAAGCAAACAAACTGGTGGGCCCTGGGCTAGTTGAGACCCCCCTCTCCACTCTGGCACTGACACCTGTGGGGAGCAGGGCTTGAAGACGTAGGAAGCAGCCGCCACAGTGGCAAGGCCAGCAGAGGGGGGGGGAAGGGAAGGGAGGCAGATGGGTTAATTCGTGCTGCCCCTGCATCACTCTATGTTGGGTGTGTCGACACATGATGTTTTACCGTGCATTAGACAAATCTAATGCACAGTAAAACATCACCATCTACACATGCACAGTAATTACTGCACCTGTAGATACAGGTACTAGAAAAACAGTACATTAACTAATGCACCACACTGCATGTGTAGGTGCTAACTAGGAGCAAATTGCTCCCAGTCAGCCCAAGCAACAGGGAGCCACACTGCTGCCTGGCTAAACCCAGATCTCTGCAAGGGAGGAGAGAGCTGTCCCAGTTTGACTTGAAGCTCCATCCCAGGTTGAGGAGATTGGGCTGGCCCCTGGCACCAGGGATAGGAGGAAGCTGTCCCAGCTGGGCAGGCAGCTCTCTTCCAGCTGGGGGGAGATAAGGCTGGCCAAGACAGCTCCCCCTACCCTCTGGAGCTTCGAGCTAAGCACTTATGTCCCATGCCAGCCTGGGGCTGGGCTCTGGGGGAGCCTGGAACTCCCCCTGGCTGCTGCAGGAGGGCAGAGCAGGGCAGCAGCAACCCTGGACTGGGCTTCTCTTGTCAGGCTCAGTTTCCTCCCAACATGGCCGCACATGAAGATGTGCACCTGGGAGCACTTTCATGAGCCTGAATTTTCTGTGTAAAAAATGCAGGTACATTAATTACACGTGCCGGTGCACCTGCTGTTAATTTGATATGTACATTATTAAGGAAGAGGCAAGGATTTCTTAGGGTGCTATCTTTTCTTGGACCAACTATGTAGGTGGGATAAAGTTAGATGCTTTCAAATCTAAGTCATTCTTCATTATGTCCTGCCTAACTCTATCCCAACTACATAGTTGGTTCAATAAAAGATATCACCCTAAGAAATCCTTGCCTCACACAATTTCTGGACCACCACAGCTACAACACCACTCTTACAGTACCATTATTAAGCCATGCATTTTATTCCAAACGATTAATTTGTCAGTGAAAACACTCTGCTTAGGTTGAACTGCATTTGTTAAATCATTTATACAGGGCTCTATTTGAGTTTAAGGGTCAGAATTAAATTTACTGTAAAAAGCAAGCCTGAAGGCAATAGAATTGCATCAACTTTGCACCACAGATTTATTCCACATTTGAGGCTGGATTTTTTTCTCTGTTACATCCATGTTTTAACTTAATTGAAATCACCCTTGATTTACAAGAAGATGTGTGAGAGTGGACTCAGATGTTCTATTTTTGTCACACTAGCCTTTGGCCTCTTCACTTTGTCTTTTCCTCTTAATTTATTCTTATCAATATTCTATCAGTACAGATGTATCTGCAAAGAGATCTACTTTCATGAGTCATTTGGAAGGTGGGTCTGGTTTTGTACTTCCAAAATTTTCTAAAGTGCTTAGGGCCAATAACTGGAAACAGATTTTTAAGAGCTCAGGATTGGGTGGTGAGGTATTTGTGTTGAATTGATCTGAAAAACTCACCTTATGTGTCACAAAGGAAGCTGGTAGTTGATGAGAGCCCTAATAAATCTGGCCCTTATGAAGGCATTTGAATGGTAGTTGAACTCTTTTTGGAAATGTGGCTCTAGCTGCAACTGTGGAGCACTTGGAAATCTAGCTGTGAGTTCTTTGGAAAATCTGATTACATGTGTTGTATGTCCGTAACACACTGTCATGAGCTACAGAAAGTCCACGTGCTCATGGGGATTTTCCCTACCTTTTGTTTAATCCAGGGCCTATTTGCAGTTTGTGGCCTCTTGACTGGCTGCTACTTTTGCTGCTGTCTGTTCTGCTGTTTCAACTGCTGCTGTGGGAAGTGTAAACCCAAAGCACCAGAAGGTGAAGATAATGAATTCTGTGTGTCTCCTGAGGATTTGGAAGAGCAAATTAAGACAGACATGGAAAGAGGTATTTATTGTTGAAAGAATATATACAGCAAACACAGATAATATATTTTTTAATGTGGGGAAATAAGTTTGTTGCCATAATTTGGGGCAGCCCTATTGACTTCAGTGGAGATATGCTGTTTTACACTATCTATAAACCTGCCATGTGGCCACTAGGTCAAAAGCAAAGCATATTGTTCATATAAATGAATGTTTCCCTGGAGGTTTTATTAGCTTGGTTAGACATATGGATATTAAAGAGCCCAAGATATTTCAAAAAAGAGATTTGCCTGGCTGTCAATAGCCAGCATGTCCCCATACTCCAGCAATGTGCCATACCTGACCTGTCTTCTGAGGGCTATCCAAATGTTAGTAGACCTGTTAAACCAACTTTTATTCATGTAAAACAGTCTTGTTGAATTTGCTGAGTCCATTCACTCAAGTGAGGGCTGCAAGATAGTGTCTAGTATTCTTGGGCTCTATTGTGGCTAAGAGAAAGTGCAAGGTGATTATTAGTGTTGCTGTTGTTGAAATATTAATAACAACCACCTGGCATTTTCTTTTACTTACAACAGAGCCCATGAATATTGGATACTCTCTTGCAACTCTCACTTGAATGAATAGGCTAAAATAATAATAGTAATACTTTGGAAGTACAGATATCAGTGTTTTATACTTTTGATCAAATACTTGCCTTCCTGTTCAGAGGTAACTCAGAATTTTGCCTTTCTTCTGTTAGAGCAGAAATAGGTGTAAAACTTTTAGAAGAAGGGCACTGGCACAGGCTAAAATGAAAATGTTCTGAAACTCATGCCTCGAGTAAGAGAGCACAGCATTAATATGAGACCTTGTATTTACTATAAATAAGAATATGTTGCTCTGTGAGTGAGGACCTACAGCAGCCAGATAAACCTTTCTCACATCCTGCTGGACTTAAGTGAGATAGTATTGAATAATTCTAGCCACCTGCTTGGCACTCAGACTGATGCCTGGTATTATTATGCACATTTCCCTTTCATTCAAATATTTACCAATCTGCTAGGTTTAAAAATTACTCCAAAACAGATTAAGATTTTGTTAGTACTGTGTGAACAAGATCTCAAGTGCTTAGGAAGGGCCAGAAATAAGCTAAAACATTTTCTAGATCATTTATCTTTCTTTTTATTTTTATCATATTTTTCCACAAGCTCAGAACCACCTTTTTTTTATAAAAATAAGAAACAAAAGCAAGATCTTCAGATTAAATAACAAGTGAATCTTCTCTGCATCTGCACATAAAATAGCAGCTGCGTGTCCATTTAAGGAAAACAAGTAATAACAGATGCAGCTGCATACACAACCAGTTTTAGGGGTGCTGGCTGAAAAGATATGGTGGAACAATATCAGTCTTAGTTCTGAAACCAGTCTTCACTTTTAAACCCTATATATTCAAGTTCAAACTCATCTGCAACTCCATAATTCCCTTTGTTTAAATTAGGACAATGTACCACCAAATCATTCAGGATGAGAATTACAGTGAATCCTACAGCAAACTTCATTTTGAAAGAGAAATTCACAATATGAGCTAAATGCTTTGTATGTCTTCTGCCCACATGCTAACTAGTCAATAATTTCTTTGTTGCTCACTGTTCTTAGCATACATTATTGTTACTTTGTTACCAAGGTCAAAATGTCAATCCTTAAACTAAGGTCAGAGTTCAATCAAATCATTTTCCCTACTGCTTTATATACAACAAAAAATCATCACTACTCTAAAAGGCTCAGTATGAAAAAAAAATGTTTCCTGCTTTATCTAATGACCTTAGTCTCTGACTATTATGAATGTTATTTGCCAGATTCTCATAAATGAGCCCTCTGGCAGTTAGCTGCTGGCAAAAACTCTATGAGAATCAGAATTTCTGTGGTGGGAGAATTCTATTTTTTTTACGTTTGGTTTCATTCTGAATTGGAGCAAGGTATCAGTTTCCCTACATATTCTCTTAATTCAATTGTTTTAGTTTCAATTGTGACTATGGTATTTTTATAACATAAATACATTTCCTAATAAAAGGTTATCCTGAAAAAAAACAAAGCAAAACAAAAAAAATTACATGTTCCATTCCCAAAATGTCTGCATGAAATGAAATTTCATTGAAATCAGCATATTCCCATGGAATGCTGCCATTTAGACAAACCAACATTTTCTAATGAAATAACCTGCTCTTAGAAAATGTTTGACCAGCTTTAGGGCTGAGCTATGTTGAAACTTTGGTTGTGTGGGACTGATATTGCTATCTTCATTTCAGTAGGTAGTTGAAGAGTTATTTATGTATGAATACAGTTTCTCTTATTATGAGAAAAAGACTGTTTTCTTTTCACAAATATATGTTTTTAAAACTAGGAACCAATCCTATTTCCATTGAAATGAATGGCCATTTCATTATTGACTTCAGTGGTAGACTTCAATAATAATAACTGTAAATCCAGCCTAGTTTCTAATTTAAGAGTCCCCATCAAGCATGAAATGCAAAGGTTATTCTTGTTTATTGGAACCATGCTCTTTCAAATGCAACAGAAGAGAGGGTACTAATGATTTCTGTCCAACATAGATCTATCCTCTTCCTTTAGGGCCAACAGGCAAAAATTTCACTTGTGCAAGTAGTTTCATTGAAGTCACTGGGCTAGATTCCATTCCCATTAAAGTCATTATGTACCTCTCACTGGCTTTCATCATGGATTCAATGATCATCCTGTGTTCAATGATCACAGCATCAGGACTCAAACAAAGCTCCCATTATATAAGGTTGTGGTAACCCCAACTCTTACCTATAGCTGTGAAGCTTTGGTGACCTACAGGGACCACCTAAAAAGCCTGGAACACTTTTACCAGCACTACCTCCAGAAGATCCTTGGCATAAAGTGAGAGGATCATTGCAAAAATGCCAGTGTTGTTGCTGATGCTAACACCTCCAGTATGGAAGTGCTGATTATTCAACATCAGCTGCTATGGACAGGACATTATATGTGCATCCCTGATGTACACTTACCAAAACAACTGCTATACTCCCATCTCAGCCAAGGATAAAGGACATGTGGAGCCCAGAGGAAATGCTTCAAGGACACTCTCAAGGTGAACATTAAGTGTGGCAATAACATCAAAATTAGGAAAAACTAGCCTGGGATTGGCCTACGTGGCAATATTTCATGGGAGAAGATATTTCTTACTTCGTAAAAAACAGTCTAGCCTTGGAGGCATTAAAATGACAGAAACAGAAGGAAACAAGATTAAGAAATCCATGGTCGGACCCTCCCTTTAACCATCACCTGTGGCATTTACCAAAGAATCTGTGGCTCTAGGATTGGCCTTCTTAGCCATAAATGGATTCATGCACAAGCCTCTACTTGGGAGTGATCATCCTTGACTGTAAGGGATCATCACTGCTGCCATCCTCTCACAGGCTTTAATGGTGCTGGAGGAGGCACTGTTTGAGTTTCGACTGCTCAAATGAATAAACTGTTGGGCCTTTGCTGAAGTTCTCAAACTGTATCGGGTGTGTCTTTCCTATTTGGTTACCATCAGCATCATTAGGGCAAAATGAAAGATTTTCGAACGATGTTCATTTTACAGAAAATGGAATTAGGAAATGAAAGAAAAAATTAGAATGCCATAAAATACTTTCCAGACTCAGAAGCAATAAGTATTTAGCACTTCATTGTCTCCTCCACGCTCCATATGATACCAACGTAGGCGAAGAGTGAACAAGAGCTATCTATAGAAAACAATTTCAACTGTGAATTCTGCAGCACCTCCATTGAAAAGGGCTATATTTGTTTGAATTGATTATGCCCTGGGTCCCCCCCCCTCCCTGATGAAACCCTTATTAAATCCAAGAAGTATACAGGTAGCAAAGTACTTGCTTAGAGCTGCCAGTCAAGAGAACCTTTTCGAAGGTTAGTCTGAAGCAGTGTAATATAGTCCAATGGATCCTTTTCTCTTGCAGCCTACCTGGACATACCATGAAAACTAATTGAGCCTTGAAGTGCACTGTTTTCCTGGCTGCAATGAGCTTTCCTAAAATGAACAACTTACCAACAAAGAGCATAAAATCCATAAAATATTTAGAATTTTAAAAATTGGTCTGAACTCCCAGACTAATAAAAAACAGAGTCATATTTTAAAAAGCAGTTGTTCATAAATTTTAACAAGCTATAAAAGTAAGAAGCAATGTGAAAAGTAGTGTCTGTTGTTGACCTTGTGTCTAAATACGGATTTTTTCATGCAGAGAAGCTGCTTAGTCTAATCACTTTTGCTGTCCCCTTTGCAGAATCCAACTAGTTCCCCCACCTCTGCAGTGATACCATATGGCATGTTAGATTCTGGCTGTTGGTCAAGTTTCTCCTATATAGCCTATCCATTTTCTGCCCATGATTCATACCATTGCCAGTTCTGCAAAAGTGATGGGAATGTCTGAATGCCTTTTTTCATGCACCATCTTTTAGGAAAAAGGGAATGATTTTTATATAACTACTATAAAGGGCATGTGCTAATATCAAGACTGAAGTAGGCCAATCTTTTCGTGCAGTGTCATATAAAGATCCGTCTGAAGTTAGGCAAAAGGTGGAGCAGCATGGCACCTTATAGACTACTTCATTCAGAAAGTAATGAGTTTTCCTAGACTACAGCCTGCTTCATCAGATGCTGTGAATGGACTTGCAGAAAGCTGGGGTACTAAAAAGAAAAGATTAAGATTATTCACCCTTTAAAAGCCAAGTACTGAGACTTGCACCCACCTTGAGGAGCTGGGCTGAAAAGATGCCCTAGAAAAGGAGAGAGACATTATAACACTCCACATTTTAGAACCTTAACATAACACTAGCTGTCTGTGGGCAGACTCCAGTCAACTGAAGGACTTATCATTTCCCCCAGAACAACCACTCTCTCCAACAAAATGCTTGACTCATTTTTATTGATGTGTTGGGAAAACAAAAATATGAATCTGATAAATGAGAGTATACAAAGCTTTAAGAATTAACATAGCCATATGAATCTCTGCCAGCCCCAAAGTGTTCTGAATGATTTCTCAAAGTCTTCTGATAAATGTCTTACACAGGATTTCAAAAGGCTACTTAGCATTTTTATAGACCCTATTGGCCTTCAGAAACTATATGATTTGTTTTCTCCTGAATATATCACTACTTACATTTTTTTCCCATTTTAACACTCATCCCTTCTTTCTCTATCATTTTCTTTATATTCTTTAAATCAAAGGGCCCAGTCTTACTAACTTGCTATGATGAGTTAAAATAAGTTTAATGAGTAACCAGTACACCCAAAAGTCTTTGCAATATCAAGAACTTAGATTATATATGTAAGGGGCATGGATTCTGATCTTTGAATCTGTAAGGCATCCATCAAGTAAGTGTTCAATATAATAATAACAACAACAACAATATGTTTGCATGGCTATGGTTATGTTTCAAGATAGTTTACGAGGTAAGGATATGGGGTAAGTGTACAAAGTTGGCATCATATGTACACTTTATATTAGTATTAAGCATAGAATTCTTTGGGTACATGCTGGGCATGTCTACATGAGGTGCTTAATACTTGAAGACTAATTCTACTGCACATTAGCACGGCTGGCAAAAATCATGCTAATGTTCTAATGCAGAGTAGATTTAGTCTAATACACATTAATGTCACAAAAAGCATTCATCTGCGCTAATGCACAGTAGTGCCAATTACAGCTCATTAAGTTAGTACCTGTTATTACAGGTACTAAACTTAATGTGCCATAATTATGGCACATTAATGAACATGTAGATGCACCCGCTCTGATTTAGAATACAATCTTGTATCTTTTCTTCATCCATGAATCTGGGATTAGGCCCTAAAGAGTCTGTAGGTGAAACAATGTAATTCTGTTGAAAAAAGTATCTTGACTTTTGTATCAAATCAAAAATGTTTAGAGGAATATTTTTTTCTGGTTGATTTAGATGGAGAAACTCCAATTATACTCCAGCCGACAAATGCAAATGAGAAAACTCAGCTAATTGGGGACAGCCACCGCAGCTATCACACAGACTCATAAACTGGGAGCAAACACAGTCTGACTGCAGTTTCCAGATGAGCTGTCTAAGAAGGAATGTCCTAGAAAAGATTCAGAAAAGAACACTGAAAAGCAATGTATTTTCCCCCCATATTTGTATTTGATGTTAAGATAAATTAAAGTAATTTCCTGTGGGTACATACTTTCTCTACAGCCTATATAAGTTCTATCCTCTGTGCTCTTCTCTGAGATGCTTACTCTGCTATATTGATAAGCAGAGTGGCCTGAAACATGTTAATATCTTCCAGGATGAAGTATCTCTTCAATAAACCATATTTTATTTAATATTGCACCTCTCTCCCACTCCTCTCAACTGGGATTCCCTCCCTTTATCTAAACCAGACTTTTTCCCTGTGTCTGTCTTGGAGTACTCTTCAGGAAGCGCCAGCTCTGTTGCTGCCTGCCAATGGAATGTTAGTTTGCCATATGTGTTTGCTGCATCTATAATGCTGCTGTTTCCTTTGAGAGAGCCACTGAAATGTTTTCATCAACGAAAGAGGAAGAGTCTGTCTCTGCCAAACAGGAAGTGTTATGTGATTGCCATCCGAAGAGCACCGTTTTAGGCTTGACACCATCAACTCCCCTTTTATCTGTGGCTGACCCACCTCATGTCAAAGTTCTATTTTCTGTTTGGAAACCCTGGGATGTCACTTCCCTGGCTCTTCTGACTACCTACCTTCCACTGCCCTAGCTCCACTGGGATGTTCTAGAAAATACCTTAGACAGTCAACAGTCAACCACCTGTTTGCTTGCTCACTTCTCCGTGGAACTGGCTGTCTGTTGCTTCTTTCTCCACTGTTCTTCTAAGATCTCAATACGATCCATTCCCCCATGCTCACTCCAGGGCTGAGGAACAGTTGTGAATTGACTGGAAAGAGAGAAAAGACAGCCATCCATTCAGAAAAGGCAGTGAGTAGCTCTCTAACACAGGAAGACAAATCAAGATAGGGCTGGCTTCTCTTAAGAATCCTGATCTGATCCAGCACCCAGTCTCCTGTATCCTCCTCCTTCACACAGGCCTTTAATCCACATATTCTTCTGTATAGGCAAAGTGTGATGGGGGTCAGGGTACACTGTATATTAGTGAGAAATATCCTTTGCACTTAAGCTTCCATTTTAAGCAAAAATGCAGTCTTCAGTTGTGATGCACTGTTTCACAAAATTCTTGCAGTGTTAATTCTTGTGACTGAAGTCTAGGAATGCCAGAGAGATATTGTCAGAGAGAAGAAAATATTGTATGCTATTAACATAAAGTATACATATTTAGGTCCTGGTTCTACTTTTTTTACAGTGGAATAAATCAAATGTATTTCTGCTGAAGCTAGTGGAGTTATGCCTGGATAAAACTGGGATAGGTTAGAGGAGAATCACTCTAACTTGAAAAAGCTAAAGCAATTTTTCAGAAATCTTGAACTTAGTCTTTCATTGATCTGACACATTAGTTTTATCCTTCCATAATCTATAGTCTCTTTTTGGAAAATGTTACATCAATCATTGTCAGTTCTGTACATTTACTACTTTTGTTCCTCTATTTCCAATTCGGTACAAGGGAGGATGTAATACCCTACTAAATTATAGAGATCTATATAGCTTGTGAAAGTGTAAATTATTTCTTTTTTAAAAATTGGATTCTGTAGCTATGAAACATTTTTTTCCTCTCATTGTCACCTTTCACATGATATGCCATTCAGCTATAGCTAAATATATAGCTAGAAATCCGTATATGTTTTATAGCTTTAGCTGTAACTCTAGAGTCACTAAACATTACTTTGCAAAGCCCCATTTAAAGGTCCTATGACACTTAAAAACCTGATAATACTTTTTAGTGGTATATATGGCCACTATGTAGCTATGCAGACATTATGGACCTGATGCTGCTCTCATTGTAATCAAGGGCAAAAACGCTCATTTACTTCAACAGCAATATCGACCCTTAAGCCATTTGCACCTACCTGTAAATACACAACACATAATTACTTCCCTTGCTCTGAGGGACCAATTTCTGTTGTATGGTATACACTTTCAGCTGCACTTGATTTCAGTGGAAGCCAAATGTGCATATACCTTTGGAAAGAATGCAATCCATTGTCACTTTATGTCTTCATATCCAACGGTACACACATACATGGATAATCAGGTCTTACGTATATATAAAGCTCCAGAGTTTATTCATGTGCACTAATTACACATGTAGATGTGCCCACGATACCCTCTTCCACATCCTGGTCCTGATCCTATGGGATCCTATTACCAGGAGATCAGGCCTAAACCTGAGGTCTGTCATAGGCCCTGAAAGGGATTTAGCCACCCAGGGCAAATCTACACATGCAATTAGGGTGGAGCAATAAACTCCAGTTATTGGGCCAGAGTCTATTGCTCTCAGGCACATGTACCTGGGACCACAACACATTGAGCTGGGTTGGAGCAACCCCAGCTGGCAGGAGGCCCCAGGGAATCAGCCTGCCAGCCTGGGGCTGCTCTGACCTGGCTCAAAATGCTATCGAGGGGCTTGCTGTGGCACAAGGGTGCTCCTGTGGGCTGTGTCAGGCAGCCACCTGCGCTGAAGCATCCTTGTGCCCCAACCAGCTGCATCAGCATCTACACACATGCTGCTGCCGAGTAAAAGACTCCGCAGCAGGATAGTACTTGTATTTACAAGTGCTACCCAGCTGCAGAATTTATTAGTTTATTCCAGCCTAAACTAGCCCTGGATGTATAGACACAAGACGTTTACTGCAGAGGTAATTAGTCTACTGCACAATAAACATCTTGTATAGATGCACCCCCAGTTCCTGTTACAGGATTCAAGGCACCCCTCAGAAAATGCCAGCTCTTAGTTCATACTCATTTTTTACTACAGAAAAATAATATAGCAATTCTTCTATTGGAAAGAACTCAAAAAGACCACAACAGGTCAGAATGTTTTTTAACACTATGGATTCCTGTTTGAAATCTCTGGGTTTATCTTGTGAATCATGTTTGTCACCTAATCATGTGGCTCCCTGCAACTCCCTTGAAAGGATCTCAAAGTACTTCAGGATGCCACAACACCCTGGTTGAGAATCACCTGATTTCAATACTTTTGCCAGTCTCAGCCCAAGCATCTGACTCAAAACCCACTAAAATCGGTAAAAAAGTTTCCCATTGATGTCATGGGCTTCGACTCGGACCCTAAATCCTTTTGGTTTTACACAGTTTTTACTAAATGAGAGGGTAATAAATTGTGGGAAACTTTTTCTGACTTGAGTGCATAAATCAAAGGCAGTTACATAAAGCCTGACTTTCAGAGGCATTCCGCAACTCCAGCTCCCACTGAAGTCAATAAAAAATCATAGGGATTTGAAAACTTAGCCCTTAAACATGAATGGATTTCTCTCTTGCTCTTGTTTGCTTTTTTAGAAGATGTATTAAAGGTGGAAACAATGATGACCACATGATTTGTTTCCATGTAAAATTCAGTTGCATTATTTACTGTTACTATGTATTTGAAATCTATCTACCTGTGTTGTCAAACACTCCGAATAATAAAAACTTCCTAAGTGAAAGAATTCTAGTGCTACCTTTACTTTTCTATACTAAGGAAAATGTTTGCTTGTAACACCCAGAGTACCCCTAACAGTTTCCAAGCTGACAGGTTCCAGAAGCATCTTGTCTTCCCAAAAAGAAAAGGTCTGCAGTTGAAATGTTGGCCTGCAGCAAATGAACCCACTAACCACCAATCTGTTTTTTAAAGTACAACCAGAGCTAATGCCTGCGGTTTGCAGATGCCTCCTTTGTTCTATACAAAAGGACATTACTTGCTTACACGGGGAAATTTACCAGCTTAATTATACTTGTCAACAACAGTGGCCATGCTACCAGCAAACATCCTCCACCCCCACCCCCACGCCCACCTGGGGCTCCAGATGTTTCCAAATCCTTTGGCGGGCATCCTACTTGCAGACCCAAGCCAGAAAGCGTAGGGTTCAGATGCCCCCACGTTTCGCTTGCCCTCAGCCGCAGAAGCAAGCTAGGGAGAAGTCTCCCGTTTCCATTAAGTGGACATAAAACCAAGATCTTTCCACTGGAGCAGCAAAATGAGAGGTTAACTATACATCACCTCCCCTGCGGGTACTACCCTGTGCCAGAAAAGGGATTATCCCCATCAACTAGGAAAACCGCCTAGTGATCACTGTTTCCCCTGCCAGGTAAGGAAACATCTTAGAGCTCAAAGACATTAGGTGTGATTTGTTTTAGTCAAAGCAAGAAGCATTTGGCCCCAGCCTTGTTTAGAGCAGCTCCAAGCAAAAGGAGAGCCCCCCCAAGTAAAACCCCGTCCTGGCCTGGCGGTCTAGATCTGCCCACAGAGATCACCCCCACCCCGTAGAGCTCGGTGTGAAGCCCTAAGCTCCTCTAGTTGTGTCTGCGGAGACGAGATGCAGAAATTGATCGGATATGCCCTTCCCGGACAGCAAATTAAAACAATATATTCAAAAGCATCCATTTGAGAGACTCCTACTTGTCATGTTTTGGCCCGATCCTTATACAGTCCGCGCCGAGCAGCTCTCATTTCGGAGCAACTGAGCCCTGAGAAACCCGGCTGCCCCCAGCAGGGGTAGGAGGATTAAAAAAAAATAAGCCTCCTTCGAGCCGGAATCGAACCAGCGACCTAAGGATATCGACAAGTACTTCCACTACAGTCCTCCGCTCTACCAGCTGAGCTATCGAAGGGACATGGGAAAGTATTCTCCGGAGATGTATAAAGCCTCTCGCCGAGCTGGAGCCTGCTGGCTGCGAAGTAGTTGTCGTGTACGTGTGGGTACAGGCAGCCGGGGCCCGGCTCACACGCCGAGCTGGTACCAGCACGGGACGGGGGTCCCGGGGCTTGGGGTGGTGGCCCGGAGGGGCTGGGAGGGCGGACACGAAGGAGCACCTGCAGGAACCCTCCCAGCCGCCCCGCAGCTCAGCTGTATCACACACCGCAGCGGAGCCAGGCCGCGTGCTGGGCCAGTGGCGCAATGGATAACGCGTCTGACTACGGATCAGAAGATTGTAGGTTCGACTCCTGCCTGGCTCGGAGTAGTTTTTTTTCCCCCACCCCGCTGCTGATTTAAGTCCTTGCTTCAGCCCTTGTGGCCACGCTGTTCAGCTCCAGTCCGGTGCCTGTCCCCGGGCTGCCCGGAGGGGCCGGATCCAGCTTCTCCGGTATGCACAGACCGCCCCCGACCTGCCTGGGAGGAGTGATAATAAAACCGGGATAAGACACAGAGAAACCGCGGGCGAGATGGCCAAGAAAAGCTACAAAGGTGTGCTAATAAATTATAAACCCCAAGACACACGGGAACTCAAGGAACGACAGTGCACTGCACAGCTGCAATCGGTGGTTGTTGTTGTTATTATTAGATTCATGGAGAAGTAGGGCTGGAGGGGGCCTCAAGAAGCCATCTAGTCCAACCCTTATTATTTTCATGGCTACCACCACCTTATTATTAGCATTGTCCTCCTCATCACCACCTTCATAATTATTATCCTTATTATTATCATTATTATTTTACAAATTACTTTGTAAAAAAGACCAAAAATAGTTGCTTGGCCCAGATCTACGTCTATGACTGAGTGTTCGCTTGTGCCCTGACTTACCTCTTTGTTCTGGCCCATCAGCCTTAACTAAACAGAGCAATAATGAGATAATTCAACAGGAGAGAGAACACCCAGAGAAGTGTATTCCCAAGACAAGATAAAGCCCCTTTCATGAAAATCAAACATTACATTTAAGGAATATGAGAGCATTTTATAATGTTATTACTACAAAACTGGAACGTTTAGTTTCTCATGTCACTGTCTGATCTTTATCAGGGGATGCTATGAAAATCACTGCAAGCCCCTATCCAAAAAGTTGTATGTAGGTCTAATCAGAAGGATTTTGCAAAACCTTCAGTACTTTAGGGTACATACAGCATGTTTAATATTTATATAATATTGCTATAGCTGTTGTATAGCTGCTGGGCATATCTACATAGTCATTAATGTGCCATAATTACAGCCCATTACATTTAGTACCTGTAATAAGAGGTACTGACTTAATGCACCATATTCGGTGCTACTGCGCATTAGCACAGATGAACACTTTTTGTGTTTAATGTGCATTGGACTAAATCTACTGCGCATTAGCTCAGTTCTTGCCAGCTGCACTATTGCACAGCAGAATTAGTCCAAAGCACATTAAGCATCTCAGGTAGACATGCCCATTGTATATATTATACTACAGTATACCATGAACGCCACATGCAGGGGGGAGGGCATGGCGACTGCCCACAGGCGGGGGCATGGAGCTCCCACGGGTAGCTGCGGCGATGTTGGTGGTGGGGGTGGTGAGTGCCAACCAGCGGTTGGCAACCACCCACAGACACCACCTGCAGCCTCAGCAGCAGCCAGCGGCAATCGGGGACCACCCACAGACACCACCAGCGGTGTTGGTGGCAAGTGGGGTGGGGTGGCAAGTAGCATCCGCCCGCAGGCGCCGCCAGCAGCATTCACAGCACTTTTCGCAGGGGGTGCACCTCCAATCTAGGGGGTGCATGTGCACCCACGTGCACCCCCTATTCATCACCAATGCAGTATACGATATATAAACTATAATATACTGACATACCCTGTATATTTACATACGCTATCCATCTTATGTAAAGGTCATTTGCAATCAGTGAAGTGAGCATAATAAAAAAAAATGTTAAATGATTTTCAATGGCAAGGTCTGGGAATACTCAGCATCTGAAATGTTGCATACTTCAATAAAGCTTTCCGTAAGACAGGGGCGGGCAATTATTTTGGGCAGAGGGCCACTTACTGAGTTTTAGCAAGCCATCGAGGGTCGCGTAACAGGCAGCCAGGGGCAGATAAATATTAATTTTCTACATTTTGGGGAGGCCCCGTGGGCCAGATAGAATGGCCACATTTTGCCCACCCCTGCCCTAAGATCTGGTTCACAACAAACAAACTCTGTCCACCTTAGCATGTAGGAATGGGTATGCTAGTGATGCTCAGCCGGGAGGATGCAGCACCCTGGGGTGTCTCGAGATCCTTTTGAGGACACTGTGCGGGAGGCAAAGCATGGCTCACAACAGAACCTCAGGCTGCGTCCAGACAAGTGCACCTGTTTGGTTCCCTGTGGACAACTAGCAGTGGGACACCTTGTGCTGCTGCTAGTTGTCCCCGGGGAATGCCTGTGCTCCGTGCCCTCTGGTGCACCACAGTTCACCCGAAGTGGGGTCGGGGAGGCTGAGGCCCAGCAGCCCCAGCAGCTTGACCTCGGGGCCTGGGAGCTTCCCAGAGAAGCTGCAGCCATAATGCTCCTGCAGCTTGGGACCTGGCCACAGCCGGAGCATGGCTCTGGCCAGCCGGGCTCTGATTTTGGGCAGCATGTACTACCTCCCTGTGTGCCACCCTGCTTTTCTTCTGCATGGGTTTTTCTGACCCCTGGATCTCCAGGGGTTAAAACCAAAGCCCTGCACAGCAAGATAGAAGCACAGGAAATGCCTGAATGTGCAGCGTGTGGCACAGCAGATGGGCCCATGGCGCCACATGATACCACATGTCAATGTTTGCAGCCTTAGAGATTTTAAAGAGGAAGCCCTGGTGTCAATTGCGTGCTGCCCTTTGGGGGTCTTTCTGAGTGCTTGGCAATGGAAGAATTGTTCTCGTATTGTTGTCAGCAGTCAAAAAACAAGTGAAAACGTAGAGCTGGCATTTTCTTTGGGGTGCCTCCAACCTGCCCAGGGGTGCCTGAGTCTGAGACGGGTGAGAACCACTGGCCTTGGCTCCAGACTGGAGCTTTTCTCACTGCCATTCCAGTCCAGTCAAGGAGCCTCCAGGGAGGCAAAAAGCTCTGTCAAGCCAGCGAATAACAGACTGGACTGCATAGGGTTACCATATATCCAGGTCCAAAATAAAGGACATCTGTGGGGATATAGAGGGCAGTTCCCTGCCTCTGCCCACTCCGTTGCCCCTCACTGACGAGGAGCCAGCCCCTAGCGGGTGGAGCAGGATTCCCTTTGCACCATAAACAATTTGGAAATATTTACGAGGGTGGAAAAGAAACTCATGGGAAGAAAAGGAAGCAGCCGAGCCAGGCAGGAGTCGAACCTACAATCTTCTGATCCGTAGTCAGACGCGTTATCCATTGCGCCACTGGCCCTGGCTACTTAGCCATTGCTGTCGGCATAGAAGGAATCAGCTATAGATGCTACCACGCTGAAACGCCCCCAGTTTCCCTTGCGCATGCGCAGTCCCGTAGCTTTAGGTTCTTGAGGCCCTCCGGCGCAGTAGCTGGTAGGTCCCTTCGATAGCTCAGCTGGTAGAGCGGAGGACTGTAGTGGATATTCCTGTGTAGAGGTACAGCCTAGACCCACAGGGATCCTTAGGTCGCTGGTTCGATTCCGGCTCGAAGGAGACTTCGCTTTTTTTCCCCCGCTCTCCCAAGGCTTGCCTTTTGCATTTCAAGTCGCTCCGGCTCTGAATTCAACTGCGGAAAATCCCAGCCGTGGGCAGCGTCGGAGGTGATCGGATCTCTGCAGGGAAGGCCTTTCCCCAGCGCCTCTTGCTGCCGGCAGGAGGCGGGAAGGGAAGAGCCGGGGACCCAGGCGGGCGGGGCAGCCTGGCTGGCGCATCCGGAGCTGGGGGGTCCGCTCCGGCCTGCCCCGCCCGGCCCCGCAGCCCGGCGGGGAGCCTGTGCGCCTGGGCAGCCCCTGGCTCACCTCCGCGCTTCCTCTGCAGAGGGCCATATGTGTGTGTGTATATATATTATATACATATATACATGGTTCGTGATATATATATATATATACACACATACACATATATGGTTCGTGAAGAGCAGGAAGGGCTAGAGCAGCGTTTCTCAACTTGCGGACCCAAAAGTGGGTGGCAAGGCTATTTCAAAGGGGCTGGGGGTTGGGCATAAACAAGCCATGGATCTAGGGCCAGGCCATGGATCTTTGCAAATGGGGTCCCAGTAGGAAAACGGCTGAGAACCACGGGGCAAGAGGGTTTGTTTTACTGTTAAGTCTTCTTCTTGGGGGTTGAGTAACCCAGGGCCTAGGGCTGGAGGCAGGGAGGGCCCTATCCCCATGTTGGGGGATTAGCTTACATGGCAGAGTGCCTGCTCAACACAGCTGAGGCTGGGGGATTCATGCCTGCGTTCCCCATGGTGCACCTTTCTTTTCTCCCACCTCCATCACTATTTTCCCTCCAGGCATGTGGAGTAGTGAGCTTTCTAACCTGTCATGTGCTACTAAAGAGCACCTCTAACAACGCAGAGAAGAGAACGAGTTTCTTTTCCCAGTGGACCCTTGGCCAAGGTCTTTTCTTTCCTTGGCCAGGCCAAGGGGCCCAGGTACCATGTAATGAATAGGATTGTATAAATTAATGGAGAGCCGGATGGAAAAAGGCCTGTGAGGCCTTGGTGTTGAAAAAGAGGCCCGACTACTAGAAATAGAGATCATATAATAAAGCAAATCAGCTGTACCAGGACACATTGGGTGAAACACACATTGCCCCTTGTCCTGCCCCTTGGCACTACAGGATAATGAGCAACATGTTTTCCTGAGCCTTGAGGGACCCAGTGCTGCATACACCAGCAATTCCTGTGTAGGATCGGGCCCCTCAAGCCCTGGAAGTGCCTGACCAGCTTTTCCTGTTTAACACCTCTGAGATCTCTGGGGCACATCTCAGTAGGTGGGAAAAGCTGGGTTACCTGTGCTCGTCTTCCAGAAAGCAAACGGACATCTGCAGCAATAAAGCAGCACAAATTACTACCTTCTGTTGTGACCATGAATTTGGGCATTTGTGGCACAAATTCCCTATATTTGCTTTCATTTTGTGCCACCATAAAACTGTCTATAGCAGCACAAAGGCAACATCTGTTTCCACCCTATGAGTCAGGCAGGGATCCAACCGACAGTCCGTAGTCAGACATTGCACCACAGGCCTCGCATGCACTCACTTTTCTGTGGCCCTCAGCCAGGCTATGGCCTAGTTCTTTTCTCTCAGGAATGATATTCATCCACAGCTGAATGAGGGCAGTAGAGAAAAATTAAAGGCATGAGGAGAGATGGGAAGCAGAGGCCTCCTTCCTAGGGTTTAGGGCTATGGCCTCTGCACTGTGCTGCTCACACTTTGGACAAAGCTGGGAGTAAAATACAGCACAGCAGTTAGGATAGACAGCGTTCTTGCCT